AAACTATAATGCATCAGTGAAAAATAAATATTTTTTTAAGCGAAGGCAACACCCTTTAGGACATAATCGGGAGTACCAGGAAATTTGAAACGGGGGGCCTACATCTCGAAGAGTACGCTGCAAGGTTGTGTCTTCTTGTTGGAAAGAAGATGCTTTAATTACTCTAAGCAGTAATTGAAGTAAATTTCAAATGTTTATGTGGGGGCGGAGATACAAAGAGTGCATGGCAAGGATGCGGCACCTGCAGTTGGAGTGATTTTTACGAAAAGGATGTATTTCCTGTTACTAAAAAGTATTTTAATATACAACTATTGAAATAATCTGTACATTACCAATGAGCAGATAAATTGAAAGAAAACTATGCAGCCGCCGACCATAGGGAAGTGTAAGAGATGTCTAAGATTTCCTTAGATATACTAGAACTCGGGAAAAATGAAAGATTCATTGAAAAGTGCGAATATTGGATTATGATGTTCCACTTTTTCTAATACTGCGCGTACAGGCCGAATTCCATTTCTTTCTGTATCTCTGCTCATAATACAGCTGACGTCATGCGACAGCTAGTCTCCAGCAGGAAATGGTCGTCCATCATTAAATATTTTCGATGTACATTGCGTTTTGAAATTACCTTTTTTTATATTTTCTTGGTTGTAGAACTATTGTACTGTGTATTCACACAAATATGCATAAGTAATCATAAGTAAGCGAACCACGTTTTGAAAGAAAAAAATGTGATTTTGTTCAGGAGCATTTTCGGTGCAGCAGATCTCTAGCAACATTACATAATACAGTTATTTTCATATTAAGTGCGCGAAATGGCTGTGTGTTTCATGTTAAATAGTTGAATAGAAAACTTGAATACAATGTTTATGCTTGGCACACCTCTGGTGTTAGATTTTTTGAGATAATTTATGTAACACTCATTACATTCTTGACATCTTGGGGAAAATAGACCTCAAATTCCAACCCAATATCAATGCTCGACACGGACCGAAAATTTGACTTTGTCGCAATATCTGACACGATTGCAAACCCTCACATGTTCGTAAAACCTGACAAGACCGCAAAACTCGGCAGGATTGCAAAACCTGATTTTGAAGCTCGCAACGACCTCGAAGCCCGCCACAATCTCAGAACACGCCCAATTTTCGATTCGATTTGAATGCCCCACTTCATCTGGAAGTCAGGGTTGATCTGAAAGCCTATTTTGGTCCCTCGTTTCCAATTCCATCACGACACAAAATTTCGACTCAAATGTCAGCCCCGAATTTAAAACCCGATTCATTTCCAATGCTCGCTATAAGTTTTTAACCAATCTACCTACCGAGGAATCCTCTTCTGATCCAATTCCCAGTTCCACTGATTCCCGATCTACCTCATTCCACTCCTTTGTATTCCATCACCTTCCATCTCCGTTCCCTTTCTTCCACCAGCTCTCTCTTTTCTATCCCTTCCTGTTCATTACGCTCCAGTCCCATCTCTTTCCTGTCCCACATCTCACCTTCCTCTGTCCCGTCTGCCTCACGTCTGCCGTCACGTCTCCCGTCTGCCGTCGGGAGACTAGTCGGGAGCTTACTTAGAGGTCGTCCAGGCAAGGGCAGTGACAGGATGGAGAGAGATACTCGGTTGGGGTAAACCACGTTAGCTGGTGTAGGTCGGCACCGGATATCACCATCCGACGTGGAAAAAAACAGCTACCTTCCGCGATAAAACATGCACATCAATTACTTTAGCAGTTGACGCGCCCGGACTCACTAATGAATTAATCAATTTAAAATCCGGTTTTTTTTCCTTTCCCAATCGCGTTCATTCCCATCACTCTCTCTCCCGATCTTCTTCGCAAATCCTCTCATCCCCATCCCCGTCATTTACTATGCCTCCTTTCACTGTCTTCTCCGTTCCCATCCTCTCCCGCATCTCCTTCTTTTCTCTACCTATTTCTTCCCTCGCGTCCTTTCCTCCACGCCCCGCCCTCTCCTTCCGTCCTTACAGCCCTTTCCCTCTGACTGGGACGTCCTGGAGATAGAATCCTCACGGTGACACGATTTTCAACACTACCTGGGTAGCTAGGTCGAATTCAGCCGCTGTCTGGAGAGCTGCTCCGATCGGTAGTTTTCATTGGTTTCTCCGATCAACACCAGGCAAATGCCCAAGCAGTATCCCCAAGAAATGGGCCACGGATTGCGCATGATCTCTCCTTCCTCTTCCTTGTCCTATCCTCATCCCTTACACATACACACACACACACACTTACACTAATATGCCAACACTACCACAAATGCCGGCAGCCAGGAGACCGGACCGGTTGTCACCACTTCCCAAGTTGCGAAACATACACTACACTTACGGGACTCATGACCTTAGCCGTTGACGCGCCCGGAATCACTAAATTTTCAATATTTCCTTCCTTCCTTCATTCATTCCTTCCTTCGTTCCTTGCTTCCTTCATTTATTCCTTCAGACCTTCGTTCCTTGCTTCCTTCCTTCCTTCATTCAATCATTCATTCCATCCTTCCTCCCTTCCTTCCTTCCTTCATTCCTTCCTTCGTTCCTTGCTTCCTTCCTTCCTTGCTTCCTTCCTTCCTTCCTTCCGTCCTTGCTTCCTTCCTTGCTTCCTTCCTTGCTTCCTTCCTTGCTTCCTTCCATTCTTCCTTCCTTGCTTGCTTTCTTCCTTTCTTCCTTCCTTCCATTCTTCCTTCCTTGCTTGCTTTCTTCCTTTCTTCCTTTCTTCCTTTCTTCTTTCTTCCTTTCTTCCTTTCTTCCTTTCTTCCTTTCTTCCTTTCTTCCTTTCCCAATCCCCGTTCCG